CCAGTATGAGAAAACAATAAAAGTTGTTCGTTCAGATAATGGTACTGAGTTCCTCAATAAACCACTTCTTGAATATTATGATCACATGGGTGTCCAGATACAAACTTCTTGTGTAGGTACCCCTCAGCAAAATGGCCGTGTGGAAAGGAAGCACCGTCATATTCTCAATGTGGCACGTGCCCTCATGTTCCAAGCATCTCTACCGCTGGAATTCTGGGGAGAATGTGTCAAAACTGCAGTCTATCTCATTAATCGTCTTCCCACGTCTCTCTTGGGTGGTAAGTCTCCTCTTGAAATTCTTTCATCTAAACCTTGTGATCTTAGCCATCTTCGGGTGTTTGGGTGTCTTTGTTATGTTCGTCAAAAACTTCCCAATAAATTTGCTCCCCGCAGTATTCGGTGCATGTTTGTTGGGTACCCATTTGGTACGAAGGGATGGCGTGTCTACAATTTGGAAACACACCGTTTCTTTCATACTCGTGACATTTCGTTTGATGAAACTGTCTTTCCTTTTGCTATATCGCCCAACACTACACCTTCTACCCCATCTCTCCCCACCCCTACGGGTGACTTTCCTGAAGCTATTACCGTGTCGGCATCCAACCAGTCACCCACCCCAGATTCGGTAGTCACTGCCGAAAATCCCACCCCAGTCCCGATTCCTGAACCCAGCCCCTCTAACCTTGCACCTACTGCCGACGGTGCACCCACCTCGTCCGACACCTCTCCACCCGAGACAAAAACAATCCCCCCAGTTAGTCAATCCTCTCGTGTCCGTCACCCTCCATCTCATCTGTCTGATTATGTTTGTCATACCGCCACGACATGTTCTTCGGTTACGTCCTCTCCCGTTCAGTCTTCAGTTTCAGGTACTCGGTTCCCTATTACTAATTTTGTTCATTATGATAAGTTACATGACAGGTATAAAGGTTTTCTCGGAGTGGTGACGGCAACTGTGGAGCCTAAAAGCTTTTGTGAGGCTGTTAAGCACGCTTCTTGGCGGGAAGCGATGGCGAAGGAATTGTTAGCATTGGAGAGGAATCATACTTGGGACATTACTGATCTTCCACCGTTTCGTCGTGCGTTGGGCTGCCAGTGGGTGTATCGCACGAAGTTTCATTCCGACGGTACTAAAGAACGTGACAAAGCCCGCTTAGTTGTGTTGGGGAATCATCAAGAATTCGGGACGGATTACACTGAAACTTTTGCACCAGTGGCTAAATTAACCACGGTGCGTATTCTTTTGTCTATTGCAGTTGCTCGTTCGTGGGAGGTTCATCAGTTAGATGTCAACAATGCTTTCTTACATGGGGATCTCAAGGAAGAGGTGTACATGAAGTTGCCGCCTGGGTACACTGGGGCATATCCCGGTAAAGTTTGTCGTCTCCGAAAGTCCTTATACGGGCTACGTCAGTCACCGCGTAACTGGTTTGCTAAGTTGCGCAGTGCCCTTCGTGCTGTTGGGTTTCGCCAAGCCCATGCTGATCATACATTGTTCGTTCGAACCCATGGTCCTGACATTTTGGTTGTATTGGTTTATGTGGATGATATTCTTCTTGCAGGTAATAACCCATCTGTTTGTTCGTCGTTCAAGCGATACTTGAATGATTGCTTCTGTTTGAAAGATCTGGGCCCAGTCTCTTACTTTCTGGGGATCGAGTGTGCTAGGTCCCCGGCAGGCATGGTTTTGAATCAGCGGAAGTACGCGTTGGATATTATTGCAGAGGCGGGTCTTTCTGGGTGCAAGCCTGTTTCTACTCCTATTACTCCTGGACATTCGCTTGCTACCTCCTCGAGTCCTGAGATTCGTGATCCTGCCAAGTATAGGCGTCTGGTTGGCCGTCTGTTGTATTTGACTATTACTCGTCCTGACATTTCTTTCTCAATTCATGTTTTGTCTCAGTTCATGCATGCTCCACGACTTGATCATTTACAAGCGGCTTTGCGGGTGGTCCGTTATCTAAAGGGACATCCGGGTCAGGGTATCTTCTTGCATAGCGACAGTGACCTCTCTCTTCTGGCATACTCAGATTCAGATTGGGCAAGTTGTCCCATCACTCGTCGTTCAGTTACTGGTTATTTTATTCTTTTGGGTGGTTCCCCGGTTTCTTGGAGATCTAAAAAGCAGGACACCGTGTCTCGTTCTTCCGCAGAAGCTGAGTACAGGGCCATGGCTAGTGCATGTACGGAGATTCGTTGGATCCGGGGTCTTCTTGCGGCTCTGTTTGTTCCATGTGTAGCTACCCCGCGTTTGTATTGTGACAATAAGTCTGCGTTGTACATTGCAGCAAATCCGGTGTTTCATGAACGCTCCAAGCATATTGATATAGACTGTCATATCGTTCGTGAGTGCGTTCAGCGCAACCATGTGTCCACGGCCTATGTTCCAACCAAGCTGCAGATTGCAGATATTTTTACTAAGGCGCTCTCTAGTCCTCTTTTTACTTTTTTACTCTCCAAGTTGGGCATTCTTGATATTCATGCGCCAACTTGAGGGGGAGTATTGGGTATTCTTGTGCAGTATTGGTTTATATTGTAGTTAGTTGGCCCGTTGGGCGCGTACTTATGTATCTTATATATATACCTCTTTGGGGTAACTAATCAATCAAGAAAGTATTTTCCAAAAGTTCTACACTTTTCACCCGAAAAAAAAATAAATTTTCCGTTAGGAACTACAAATAAATTCCCCAAACAGTTACAATACATCAAATTTCATTCATAACCTGTGCGTTTCTCAGAGTTGTTCCGATTCATGCTTGTTTTTCTTCAAATTTTTGATCAGGTCTGTTGGGGAAGCACGGAACAAAACACAACGGAAGCGTATAAAATTTTTTCCCCAAATTAATGAGATGAATAACAAGCACAATAAACTCTGAAAAAATCAGCAGCACACACACAAATAAATGGCAGCGATAATAAAGTAGATGACACACGATTTACGTGGAAACCCCAAATCGGGGAGAAAACCACGGCCGCTCAACAACGGCTCCCAAACTTCCACTAATCACCAAGAATCAAGTGGGTACAACAAGTACTCCTCTCTAGTAAACACTAGAGGCATACACAATCATCAAGGAGCAACCTTGGAACAACAACAATCAACAATTCACCATAAAATGGAGTAAAAACTCCCAAAAACGCAGGTCTGAAAACGCAGCTAGAAAACAACCTTCCGGGCATCAAAATGAGAATCTGACCGTTGTATTTGAAGAGGAGTATGTGAGGAACAACATACTAAAATTTGAGCACGATCCGGCTTCGTTTGGCCTTCGATCCGGAGGTGAAAAGTTGCTGCTGTAGAGAGTGGCGGAAATCTTCTTTTTCTTCCTTTTCCATGCGTTTTGCTACTGCCACACCATTGCTTCTCTCTTCATACTCCCTTATCTCTTTTCTTTTTTTTTTAGTTAGTAGCCACACACAACATAAGAGAATGGGCCACTAAAAAAAACAATTGGGCTAAAACTTTACACACAAAAATAAGCCCAAATATAAAAGAGAGATTTAAAGTGTTGTCCAATTAAAAATTGGACACTATCTCCATGTAGGAGGGATATTTCCCAACAAATCTCCCCCTCACTCCTACATGGAGTGAGTAAACAAACCAGCCTTCTCTCGACAAAACACGAGTTTCTCCTTCGGCATAGTCTTGGTCAACATATCCGAGCAATTCTCACTTATGTGAATCTTCACAAGTTCAAAAGACTTATCCTCCACGGCTTCTCGAATCCAATGATACCTTCTCTTAATGTGTTTGGTTCGAGAATGAAACGCGGCATTCTTGGCAAGGTGGATGGCACTTTGAGAATCACAATGAAGAAGATAATTTTCTTGTTCCAAACCAAGCTCCTCAAGAAAATTCCTCAACCATAACAACTCCTTGCCTGCCTCAACAGCTGCTATATACTCTGCCTCAGTAGTGGACAAAGCAACACACTTCTGCAATCTTGATTGCCATGAAACTGCAGCTCCAGCAAATGTCATCAAGTATCCCGAGGTAGACTTTGCAGTATCAACATCTCCAGACATATCTACATCTGTGTACCCATCTAACATAGGTTGTCCAATACTAAAACATAAACAAACTTTGGAGGTACCTCTAAGATATCTGAGAATCCATTTCACGGCTGCCCAGTGCTCTTTACCCGGATTCGACATGTAGCGGCTAACAACCCCAACTGAATGTGCAATATCTGGCCTCGTACATACCATGGCATACATCAAACTACCCACGGCTGAAGCATAAGGCACATTGTTCATCTCTTTCTTTTCTTTCTCACTTGTAGGGCAATGGTCCATACTCAACTTCATGTGGCCTGCAAGTGGAGAACTCACGGGTTTAGCATTGCTCATGTTGAATCTACCAAG